CTGTTACTACTAGCGTGGCACTTGTTACTAGTAGCTTCTTGTTACTACTAGTAAGGCACCTGTTACTAGTAGCGAGGCACTTGTTCCTAGTAGCTTCTTGTTACTAGTAGTAAGGCACTTGTTACTAGTAGCGATGCACTGTTCCTAGTAGCTTCTTGTTACTAGTAGTAAGGCCAAGAGCCCCTAGTAGCGTCCTGGCTCGACAGTGTAAGGCCAAGACAGCACGTTTCTAGGCTATTAGGGTGGAGGCCATCGCTAGCTAGGGGTTGTTGCTGAGGTCTTCGCCAAGTGCAGATCTATCAAGTCCAACGTTCAAGCATTCTGAGGAGTTGTCCTTGGACTTTAGCCGTTTCCAAAGAAGCAAAAGAGGAAAGAAAGATTGAAAGGTCCAAACGACTCAGAAAGAAACGAAAAGATCTAAGGGTGGTAGAAAAGGAAAGAAAAGAAAGGAAAAGGGAAGGGAACGCGTTTCAGTACCGTTGCAAAAAGTGTTGGCATTCCCTGAAGGCAATTGAACTGTGTTGTGCTACGAGTAGTGACAGTTTTAGTCGTAAGTGGAAGAGGGAGTAGAGACGGAATAATGTTTCGTGTTTCTTTTGACTTTTAGAGGTGTTCTTTCTTTGGAATGCTTTCTCATCGCTAGTAGTATCAAGGGCATCGCTACTAGTAGCAAGAACGATACTAGTAGCTCCTGGCCTTGCTACTAGTAACAAGAAGCTACTAGGAACAAGTGCATCGCTACTAGTAACAAGTGCCTTACTAGTAGTAGCAAGAAGCTACTAGGTTGGAGGCCATTGCAAGTTGCTTGCGGCGGTCGTTTGTCGTTTCGTCGCCGAAATCGGCCTTCCGAGGCCAACAACCCCTTTGCCACGGCGCTGGCATTGAACCTCGATATGCCGAGGCCGAGTGGAACACTTTTTGAGATGCCTTGCATACAAAATGAAAGATGAAATGAATTTGTATAGATTAAATACAATATATATATATATATATGTATATATGGTACCCCCAAAAAAACCTATGCTCACCTCACTTTTGCTGGTATTTGTAATATTTTGTGTCTATCTTTGGCGGCCTTTTGGACCTTGGTTTTTGGGGTACCATATATGGTTCCCCGCCCCCGGGAGTAAAGACTAGTCACACCCTTTGATGGTTCCGTAGTGTTTGGCTCTCAGGCAGCCTTTGATGTCTTGCAAAGGCTGCAACAACCGCTTGAGGCTTGCGGTTGGGACACCAGGCCAGTGCAACGCGTGCTACCTGGCCACTCGAATAGAGCGTGTCGTGATCACCAGGTACCCACCGGCAAAAGCTGAGGAACTTACCCACTTCTTGGCCAAAGTCCTCAACACCTTGGAGGCCGATTCGGAAGCCTTCGAGGCTGACAAGACCGCCGGCGTGGTCGATCAGAACGGGTACCTGGTGAGCGGGGGTCAGGACAGCAAGAGCAAGCTTACAGCACCGTTGGCCGCGGGGGTTCACCCTGGAGGTTCACATCCTGAGGCTGGCTCGGCCGTGGTCAAGAAGGAGAAGAAGGAGTCAGAGGAAGCAGTCACTCCCGGATCGTCATCAAGGCATAGGAGAAGGAGGCGTGAAGACAAAGCAAGGTCCCGCAGCCGGAGTCGCAGGAGGGATCGCAAGAAGCCGAAGAAAGAGCCTAGCCCAGTTCCAGAGGAGGAAGTTGGGACAGAGCCTGAGGAGGAATTAGACGACGCAGAAGACGAAGAAGCAGTTGAGGCAGACGAGAACGAGGACGACGACGAGGTCGCTTCACACCACGACGAGGTCAGCCCGGACACAGAGGTCGCCAGAGACCCGGAGGGAGCTGGACTCCGGAAAGTGCCACCAAAGCCTTCCGCAAGAAAGCCACTTCCGAGGAGACCGAGGACACCATCGAGGTCACCGCCGGGATACCGTGGACATCGTCAGGACGGACCCAAAAAGTGGAAAGGAGTTAAACATATCATTCGGGGGCAGACCCTGGGCTACAGCAGCAAAGGCAGACCGCCGAAAGGCAAAGGAAAGGGGAAATGGCACCGAAGATGAGAAGGCCTGCGAGGGCAGAAGGCCCGCCACGCAGGAGAGGAGATGTTCGTCGGCCCGCAGCTCACATGGAAGGAGAGGAACCACGGGGCGAAGCGGCCCTGCCGTGGGATCCCAGTGTGGGGGATCTTGTGATCGCCGACGGGGCCCATTACTACGGCGTTCCGTGCCGCTTCACCGGTCGCATCACCGAGGACACAAGGGACGCGTCGGGGCGACACCTGGGCATCAAGCTGCATGGCACAGATCACGAACCCCTGCTCACATGGGCCACGGGGGCCACTACACCGGCGCGCGTGCATTTGTGCCCCGAGGGATGCTCCAGAGCGGCAGAAGGACCAGGGCTTCTACACTGCAGCGATCTTCGGAGCATTCGGTCGCTAGAGGAGCTAGTCGGAGTCCCCTGGCGAGACGTTTTGTTGGAGGGGCGCACCAAAGGAGAGGACGAGCTAGCAGGTCTGAGGAGCCGGATGGATGCAGTCGGGGGACCAGGCCCTGTGGTGGCAGCGGCCGTCGCCGAGATCGAGGAGAAAGCAAAGAAGTCAAAGGAGGGAAAAGAAAAGAAGAGGTCGAAGAAAAAGAAGAAAAAGAAGCGAAAGAGAAGCCGCACACCGCGGTCAGCGAGCGAAGAATCAAAGAAAGGAAAAGAGAGGAAAAAGAAGAAGGAAGCGGGGAAAAGCCCTGTCAGCTCCTCCAGCTCCACGAGCAGCTCTTCTACTGTGGAGTTCAAGGAGGTCGGACAAGAGGTGCTCTTCCGAGGGTCAGGGATGGACCCCAACACCCGCACACGCCGTGCACAACGCATGGCCCGGCGGTCCTATCGCAAGAAGGAGGACAGCCGGTCGGCATCATCAGGAGACGGGGGAGACTTGGCCCTGAAGGGGGATCAGATCTTCGGCGAATCCCAGAAAATCCGAGCAGTGGCCCTTCAGTTTCCAGGTGTTCTGACATCGCAAGCAGTCGAGCAGATGCAGGAGCTACTGGTACAGGAGTTGGGCCAGGAGCGACAGCAGGATGGCCCTTGGAGCCCCACGTATCTCAGATACTTCAGACAAACGCTGTTCCGCAAAATGTCTGGTCCGATGTCCAGGGAAGCTCTGACGTTGGCTACAATAGCAGACCAATTATTGAAGGGCATGATTCCGGGGGCGATGGACACCCTGACACAGAGGATGAAGTCGCTAGAAGCGCAAGCCTCTGGCCTCGCGTGGACATCCGCTCAGCGGATGGAACTATTGCCCCCAGACGGGGCCAGCCTATCGTCGAGGCAAGAGCTATCGATAGCAGCAGCGGAGCGTCGCGCCGAGGTGAAGGCCCACCAGGTGGGAACTTGGAAGGAGTGGGGCAAAGGAAAGGGCGGCAAAGCAGAAAAGGACGATGGCGGCAAAGGAAAAGGAAAAAAGGGGAAGGCAAAGCCCAAGAAGGAGTGAGGATGACCAGCGGCTTGGAGCATGCAAGCGGCAGTGGCTATGTGGAGGCGGGGCGGGAGTACCCTGGCAGTGTTATGAATGGAGGTGAGCGGGGTGAGGCCCTGGACCATCAGAGGGGCATTACAGACACTACAGCAGCTGCCCTGGGTGATCGGGGGGTGAACCCTGTACAGGGTGTTGAGTTGAAGGAGGAGGTCATTGGCGCCCAGTTGAAGAGGCAGACAACTGACCTAGCTGGAGGTTTCCCTACAGCATTGAGCACTACGAGTCGGGGTGGGAACCCTGAAGGGGCAGAAGTGGAGGATGCACCATTCCCTCCCCTGCCCCCACGTATTTCTCCGAGCGCTCAACTTGCGAGCGCAGCGCCTGGGTCGGCGATGGATTGCCGTACAGGTGGCGAGGACCTTCCGGGGCAAAGCCCTGCTCGACGCTCAGAGTCGGGAAAAGGACTGTGTGGCAAGAGGCATTGGGAGATGGGGGAGGATTTAGTCGTTGCTTTTCGGAGGGTTTCGTCGCTCTGCAGCCAGACCACGGCAAAGGGTGGGGACCCTAAAGCTTTTGGGACTAAGGACACCTTCCCTTTGCCAACCCTTCGTTTCCAAATCGCCCTCGTTCTCGAAGCCGATGAGCCCTGGGTCATCGATTGGGTACTCGCCATTTGCATGGGTTTGAATTCACTTTGGGGATGCCCGGCCGCTTCACTGCAGGATGGGCCGCCCAGTTTGGTGCATGGGACGGTGTCGGAGGTGCACACCCGCGTCCTCCGGTCGATCGCTCGAGACGTGACTCGGCTGGGAGGGATTGATGAGGTGACACAGGACTTTGAATGGAGCTCGTTTTTCAGAACGCGGACCATTGATTACAAGGGGGATGAAGTTAAAACAGCACAACAATTCACATGGCGGAACATCAAACCTGCCATCCCGCGTGAGATTGGTGTGGTGGAGTTGAAGGATATTTGTGAGCAAGGCTGCAAACAGTACATCGAACATTTTCCAGATTACCTCAAACCCTCCCACGAGTGGGAGCCAGTACGGAAAGCAAAGGTCATGGTAGCAGACAGGGACTGGACAGAAGTGGCGACTGGACTCATTGAAGCAGGAATATTCGGGGTTCTCCCTGAATCGGAGATTTTCAGGGCTCACGGGAAACCATCGCTAAACGGACTTTTTGGAGTTGAGAAGCACGAAGAAGAAGAGGGCATTCCGATTTACCGCTTAATTATGAATCTGGTGCCACTCAATGCCCTGTGTCAAGGGCTACACGGGGACATCACAACCCTGCCGCATTGGTTTGGCATGACCCCGTTTCATATCGAGCCTCATGAGTCAGTCGTAGTGTCAAGTGAAGATCTCCGGTGTTTCTTTTACACCCTGCGTTTACCCAGCTGCTGGTACCCCTATTTATGCTTCAACAAAAGGCTGCCAGCCGATTTGGTGCCAGCTGAACTCCGGGGGCAGCCCTGCTATCCCTGCTCGAAGGTGTTGCCCATGGGCTTTCTGAACAGCGTTGGGATAGCTCAGCACGTTCACCGGGTTCTGGCCCTACGGTCCCAAGCTCACAATCATGCCCGTGACAGCTCAGGGCACGAAGTACGGAAGGACAGAATCCTGCGGAGGGAAAGGCGGTCTGGCGCGTATATCTTGACAACTATGACTTGCTTGAGAAGTATCCCCACGAGGTCTTGGGCGACCTTGACGGGGAAGTTGCCCCGGAGGTGCTGGCCCTGAGACAGGAGTATCAAGCTTGGGGGCTGCCTCGTCACCCTGGAAAGGCGGTGAGCCGAAGGACGATCGCCGAGGTACAAGGTGCCGTTGTAGACGGGGAGAGGGGCAT